GGGTCCATGTTAGTAGAATAACAGGTAATGAAATGAAAACTGAGATAGGTGGTACTAAAGATTAGTAAGTTAGGATCTATGTTAGTAAAGTAGCAGGTAATGAAGTGAAAACTGAGATAGGTGGTTGATAAAATACAGCAATTCATGGGTGAAGGAACAAATAATAATATTACTGATTTTACTTAAAATCAACGATTCTGGCATACAAAATTACCATTATCATACTTTTTATAAGAGTAAGATTAAAAACTGTATTTTAGTTAAAATAACCTTATTATTCATGATAACCAACATGCTAATAAAATTGCCCATTGCTAGCTGGCTTACTTTTTCCTTACCTGGTACTTGCCATTAATCTGTAGTGCTGCCCATGTTGCATACTTTAGGCTTTCCTTTTTCTTTTGAGCTGTTGTTTTGGCTGAAACTGCACTGTTACTAGCAGACTTTTGTAAACAGAGAAAGACATATGAAAGATAATCACTAAATATTGTGTATATGACAAAATCAGAATGTACCAAAGGAAATTAATAAAAACAAAAGAAAAAGAGGTAGAAGCTAAGGTAAAATCAGATCACACTATCCTTCAAATTACTGGTTTGTTTTTATACTGTTGGGTCCATGTATATATTGAACAATACTCAGTATAAAGTACTGATTGAAAGAAAGGAACATAATAATAACAACCAAAAGTAAAATACTGAAGCAATGAAAAAAATAGTAGCAAAAGTTTTCATAATATCTTCTTAAAGTAACATTGGATTTAGGTAAAGATTTATTTTTATTAACAATTATAATTGATTTAAAAAAAAGGAAATATTACCTTATGGTAATAAACAAAAATTTTAAATGCTACACTTACCAGAAATAAACCAAATAAAGCTTTCTTGTGGTGTGGTTAAATGTTACACTTAGCAGAAATAAACCATGTAAAACTTTCTTGTGGTGTGGTTAAATGTTACACTTACTAGAAAATAAGCCAAATAAAGCATTCTCATGGTGTGATTAAATGTTACACTTACCAGAAATAAACCAAATAAAGCTTTCTTGTAGTGTGATTAAATGTTACACTTACCAGAAATAAAACAATAAAGCTTTCTCTTGTGGTGTGATTAAATGTTACACTTACCAGAAATAAAACAATTAAAGCTTTCTTGTGGTGTGATCAAATGTTACACTTACCAGAAATAAACCAAATAAAGCTTTCTTGTGGTGTGATTAAATGTTACACTTACCAGAAATAAACCAAATAAAGCTTTCTTGTGGTGTGATCAAATGTTACACTTACCAGAAATAAACCAAATAAAGCTCTCATATTGTGTGGGTTTAGTTTTACAGCCTGTGCAAAATAGCTTCGTGCTAATTTCATGCCTTCTGGACCACCTATTGTATACTGGATCTAGTGAATTCAATAGAGATGTTTTGCCATGACTTGAATACATCATATAAATGTATTAGATACTTGAATAAGATAAAATCAGATTAACTTCAACTTCTTTTAAGCAATATTGAAATTCAATTATACGTAGATGTTTCTGTGAATTTGAGAATTATATTTAATAGAAAGCACCTAATATTAACATAAAAGTAGGTTTAATAAGTTATTTTAACCACTGGTCTTTGTAAAGTTATAAACAAGAAATTCTAGTTTAATTATTCGAAGTGACTATATGTTTAAGTTTTTAGGTTATACTGATTCTAATGCTTATTGGTACATATTGTTATGTTTATTTAGAGTTGATTCTTTGTAATAATAGCATATTCATAATCAATTTATTAAAAAGCTTGTAATCAAAACCAATTAAATCTTACTTTTCATCACTCCTTTAACTTAAAAACATTTTAAGAATCATTCCTATTATATCTTTATGATGTATTAAACTTGAACAAAGAAAGAAACATTAAAAATAAATTTCAAAAACAAATGAACAATAAACCTTAAAAAATAAGATGTATAATATCCGAGTTTTCAAAATAATAAGGGCATTATATACAATAGCTACTTTACAACATACACTTTAAAAATCATTACACTTTTTGAAAAACTTAAAAATGAAAAGGTTAGAAATCAAGAAACACATTAAGGAGTGGTACACTGACACAATATGCTTTTATCCATTTTAGATAACCCCCCAAATAGTGATCTTAATACATGGATATGTCACATAAACAACATCAATATACAAGGTTAACAACCAAAACAGCACACTTAATACAAGGATGTGTCACAAAAAACAAAAAATATACAGGGATAGCACCCAAACAGAGTACACTTAATACAAGAATGTATCTCATAAATAACATCAATATACAAGGTTAAAAAACAAAACAGTACACTTAATACAAGGAAGTGTAATAAAAACAATGTAGATATACAGGGGATAACACCCAAATACAAAGCACACTTAATACAAGGAAGTGTCACAAAAGCAATGTAGATATACAGGGATAACACCCAAACACAGAGTGCACTTAATACAAGGAAGTGTCACAAAAGCAATGTAGATATACAGGGATAACACCCAAACACAGAGTGCACTTAATACAAGGAAGTGTCATAAAAACAATGTAGATATACAGGGTTAACACCCAAACACAGAGTACACTTAATACAAAGAAAGTGTCACAAAAGCAATGTAGATATATAGGGTTAACACTCAAATACAAAGTACACTTAATACAAGGAAGTGTCACAAAAACAATGTAGATATACAGGGTTAACACACAAACACAAAGTACATTTAATACAGGGAAGTGTCACAAAAACAATGTAGATATACAGGGTTAACACCCAAACACAGAGTACACTTAACACATAGATGTGTCACAAAAACAAAGTAGATATACAGGGATAACACCCAAACACAGAGTACACTTAATACAAGGAAGTGTCATAAAAACAATGTAAATATACAGGGATAACATCCAAACACAGTACATTTAATACAAGAAAGTGTCATAAAAACAATGTAGATATACAGGGATAACACCCAAATACAAAGTACACTTAACACATATATGTGTAAATAAACACAACATAGAAATAGCAAGCACAAACTATGCTTAAAAACTTTGGAAAGTACAAACACCTTGATATGCCATAGGAAAGTAAAATTTATTACTGAACTTTTTATTTATAAACAAGTTTAAAAGTTAACTGAGATTCAGAGCTAAGTTTATGCTTTCAAAGTAAAAATGAAAAATACATCTTATGTTTTTAGATGTAGACAGTTACCTACAATTATTTACTTAAAACAAACACATGACATGGCTTGTATGATGAAACCATATGCATATTCATTAGACATATAATAAGCCCTGTGTTTACTGTACTTCACATTAGAGAACTGAGGTAATACCAAATTTAAATGAAGTTTAACAATGGTTCAAATTGATTTTCAGCACTACCTGTATGAGATAATCAACCAGTAAAACCAATAACTTCAAGACAGACATTCAACTAACCTATTTTAGAAAGATCCTCACCTCCGCATATCGCTGGTGATAAAGATGATTGTGTGGATTTGAAAGTATGAGTTCTTCCATACAAAAAGCAGCTTTATTGTAGTCTTGTTCCTGAATGTACAGACTACAAAGTTCCATCCATGCCTCCTGGTCACTCATAAATCTGGGAATTTAATTTTCAACCATACGCAAGATATAAACTACTTCAACATCCAAACTGATTATATGTGCATCATATACAAATGTAAAACTATATGTAAAATAATAAAAGCTACATAATTATGAACATAAAATTGATTAAATACACTTCTAATATATATATATATATATATATCAAAGCCAGTTTTCTTTTGGTAACTCTCCATTCGTCTATGTTGCATAACAACAAAACTAATGACTTAATATTGTTGTGTTAAGTATGTATATAATACTTCAAATATTCATGAGGGCTGAGTTGAATTCCACTCTTTAGGTCATTTTACATTTTAGTTTATGCATATATTTAGTTTGATGCAGACATTTCAAAGTTTTGACAAGTTTTAAAAGCATCTAAATTAGAGGTTAATTCCCATAATTCATATGTTTTGGTTGGGTTCTATGAAGTTTTTCAGTTTTATTATTACTTTTTTGAATAAAAAATATTTAATTTTTTTCTTAACTACTGATGATACTTGAAAATAACTTTTAGGTTAAAATTTTGTGGTATAATTTTTATCATAAATCTTATGCCTATAGGTTTTGGGTGCTTCATTTTCTGTCAGCATTTAAACCGTAATTTTAGGTTATATGATGTAACTAGAAAAATACATTCTGGTAGATGTGAAATATCAATATATTTTAAAAATCTTTCACTAACCACAAAGCTGCTTGAGTAAGACAACATCATGAAATAGGTAAATCAGGTATACTTGAACCATTTCTGCTGGAACATTATGGGTCAAGGTTTGGGTGATAAGATTATGTCATTGAGGTGTTAGACTTCTACTGCCTAGAGTTGTTTATTACTACTCCAAACATTGGCTTTTATATACATATATACATATATCTATATTAAATAAGTTAGTACATGTGAAAAGTTAAAACGTAAACAGAAGAAATGAATGCTAAAAACGTTTGAATATAAAATGATGAAATACTTTTCTAATTTCTTTTAAAATGCTTTTTAATATTACAAATGACATGTAAACATTCTTGAACTAACCTACATAAAATCCAGTGTGTCTCATATCACATCACATTTGATTCTCAAAATAGGAGGAGTTATAAAAGCCAGAATGCATTTATCCCGATAGAATCGTTCGAGTACTGTCTGCCCATTATGATTTTAGTGACAGGGAGTGCAAGGGTGCTGTGAAACCTTATAAGTGTAGTGAGTGTTCATATAATAAGCCTAAAGTAAAGACTTAGTGTGGGATCACCTAGCCTAGAGCCAAGTGCATCAGAAACGATTTATGTTTAAAATTAAATTGATATTTTTACTTTCGTCATAAATTTTAATTAAGCTATTTTCTGTTATATCACCAATGTTTTAATAAAAAACAAACCTCTTTAATCAACAGAGACTCTAAGTTAAGAAATCATCAAATATTTTTCCAGTTTTGTTGTCTATACATTTCATTTTATACTTTCAGTACATAGACTAACAACAATATTAGGTTATACTTTTGTTGCTAAGCAACATGACATAAAAACCATATATTAAAAGTTGTTAATCTAACTGATTTTTACCATTAATTGTTCTATGAATAAGCCACAAATTCATTTCATGAATGATCTTAATTTTGATTGGCTCACAAAGGAATTTACCGACATTTGACTGCCTGAACTGCACTTTTCTGGCTCTTTGTTGGTCAAACTTGATTTAGCAAAATTTATTTAGTTCACTTAGCAATGAAATGTGAGGTTAGGGTATACTATGGGGTGGGGGTGGTAGTACTTTGATAAGCGATATGCTAGTATACTAATAATGTGAGTACCATTTTGTGAGTATGTAATGCTCATATTACGAGTCATTTTTAATTTAAGTTGCACCATTCTTATTGATTTTTTGAGTGCACTTGAAAATTGTTTTTATTTTCTCAGTGTGTGTGATTCTTTTTCTTTCATCGTCAAGAGGGAAGTTTGAACAAAGCTTGCTGAAGGAAGGGTGGGTGCCATGAGGGTTCTTTACGAAACTTCAACTCGTTACTTTTTGACAGGCTGAGCAAAGTTTATACATACACACACACACATATATAAACACTACATAGTTACATTGAAATAAAAACTGAGTACCATACATGGAATAATTTGTCACGTATTGTTTCACATTTTACTGTTTAAATCAGCAATTTAATCTTACCCTTTTCTAGCACAAGAAACTTATTACAACAAACACATTATTTTTCTATTCAAAGTATATCTTTATTTTCTACAATAGCAAACAAACCTTGTTCTAATACTTAAAAATAAAAAAAAGGTTATAAATCTGGCCCATCTCCTTCAAGATGTGTTTTTATATCCAATAATATTATCTCCAAACAGAACATTATGTACCTTTCCAAACTTTTAATGGAGAATCACACAAATTACTGATAATTTTAAAAATCTCGTTACACGAGTAGTCCCAGTAAGGAAAAACACTGTACAGTAACTTTTTCAAGGTTAAAAACTCACATAAATACCAAGTATAGTATAAAAATATTTCTTTTACAAAAAAATAAGTCTTTTGAATGTTATTCTGAAAATTCAAGCAATTTAATGCAGTATTTTTTTTTATTATTCTATGTACCCAGGACAGGTTGTTAGCCACATGCTGATGCAGTGCTATGCATTTTAAACAAATTATCCACTGCAATACAAAAAAAATACAATAGTACTTACTAAGGTAATGATAAGGGAAGCATATATAAACTAAAGACCTGAACAAAAGACAAAGCAGTTGTTCTGATATTAAATAACATCACAAAGAATATTAACTTAGTATAATATAGTACATAAAGGCAATAATATGGAGGATATGACTGATGACTTAAACCATGAGACAAAGCAGTAGCCATGATATCAAACACCATCATGTATAGTATTACCTTAGTATAACACAGTACTTATCAAGACAATAATATAGTGGATATACTTAATTATTGATATAACACCTTCATCCACTGACTGTCATTAAAATACAAGATGACATCTGAAGGTGCTATGCACTTTTTTGAATTTTTTACCTACAAAACACCTACAAAAGTGTTATCAGATGTGAATTCATGTGAGATATTCCACAGACAAAAAGAGTTATTAGCCTTTACTATTTTTGTAACATAAAATATTCATTCACTTGAACTTTTAATTATGAAAGGGTTATAGCCATCATATTACAATATGATATACAAAATAAAAAACTGTACAAAAACATCAATATCTATTATACAACCATTAATTAAATAGTCTTCACTTCAGCATTTGTGAGAGAAGACAAGAAATCAGTATGGTGACACAAGAAAGATTTAGCTTACTTTTTCAAATATTCTGTCAACTCTTTGATTGCATCAGGTATCCGGTTTTGAGCCTTTAAAAGGGCAATTTTCCGCTTGTATATCACAGAGTTGGCTTCATCCGTTTGTAAAATAGAGTCATATAATTTCATGGCTTCTTCATATCTACAAAAACCAGAGTGTTCGTATTCACATTGCTTTCAACAAAAACCAATATACGACAGATAACAGAGGTCAAAGAAATGAATCTGGGAGGATTATCAGACAGTATAATAATAATGTATAACTACATGAATGATGACAATTAAAGCAAAGTTGTTGTAGTTAATGTTAGTATCTTAAAGCATGATTCACACCTTCAGTACATGTGAAACAAGCTGTACCTGTGAAAAGTGGTAGTAGTTAATGTTAGTATCTTAAAGCATGATTCACACCTTCAGTACATGTGAAACAAGCTGTATATCTGTGAAAAGTTGTAGTAGTTAATGTTAGTATCTTAAAGCATGATTCACACCTTTAGTACATGTGAAACAAGCTGTATATCTGTGAAAAGTTGTAGTAGTTAATGTTAGTATCTTAAAGCATGATTCACACCTTCAGTACATGTGAAACAAGCTGTACCTGTGAAAAGTGGTAGTAGTTAATGTTAGTATCTTAAAGCATGATTCACACCTTCAGTACATGTTAAACAAGCTGTATACTTGTGAAAAGTGGTAGTAGTTAATGTTAGTATTTTAAAGCATGATTCACACCTTCAGTACATGTGAAACAAGCTGTACCTGTGAAAAGTGGTAGTAGTTAATGTTAGTATCTTAAAGCATGCTTCACACCTTCAGTACATGTTAAACAAGCTGTATACTTGTGAAAAGTTGTAGTAGTTAATGTTAGTATCTTAAAGCATGATTCACACCTTCAGTACATGTGAAACAAGTTGTACCTGTGAAAAGTTGTAGTAGTTAATGTTACTATTTTAGCAAGCTGTACAAGGAAACCAACAGAACACAGATTTGGTTCCAGTTTACCATAGCCACTTTGTATAATAAAATTATTGCCTCTACAAGGAAACTAATAAAACACATAGATTTGGCTCTAGTTTCCTAAAGCCACTTTTTATAAAGAAACTCCAGTCTAAACTTTCATGGATACATCCCTAAAACTCAGACCTAACTTATTATGAAACCATTTTTGTTATAAGGAAACAGTTGTTTTTACATAAGAATTGTATTTTACTTGAAGTTATATATATGTTACTAAATCACATTTTATAATGAAACAATTTCCTAAATATAAAACTCTACTCATGTTGTATATCTACTACATATTCCACTACTGATTGTAAAAACAGAAATATAAGTCTTATGTCATGAAGACACAGACAAGTATTATTTTTATATACAACTACCTTGTTAAGCTATTTTAACATTGGTTTTAACTAGTAAAAGTGATGCCAACCTTTCAAGAGCTTCATACTTCATGGCTCTTAGTTTCCTCACTCTCATACTTCCCGGAAACTGTCGATCAAGGGTTCTCAAACATTCCTAGAAAAAATGTTTAATAAAAGGAAACAGTTATATCGTATTAACTATTAATAACCAGGTTTTACTGTTACACTTACACAGTTCCATGCATTACTATAAAACATGTATATTAACCACCACTTCCAGTTTTACTTACTAGAAAACAGGTATATGAATCATCACTTCAAACTTTAATTAATTGATATGCTTACATAAAATACTGTAACAAAACCTACGAATTTCATCAATAATTATTAAGAGTGTGCATAAATTTCGTTTAATAATTCCTTTCCAAAAAAATCATTAAGTAAGAAGATGAGTAACTATTTTTCCATGGTGTGAAAACCTGACCTGTACGAATAAACTATGATAGCTAAATATTACAAATAAATATTACTTAATAAACTAGATTGTTTTCCATAACTGTGGATGCATAAAATTCAATCAAACACTTTTTCTTCCATTTTCATTTCACGAAGCATGCTGCCCGAACATTATTTTTGACACAGAGAGGAAGCAGATTCTATCAATCCCACACTTAACAAATGTTCTGACATTGAAGTTTTGACTTGTTAGTTTAAAAAAATGTGCATATGCTAATAATATATAACAGCTTATTCCATTTATTCACTAAACAGATTCTGTAAGTAATTTACAAAGTGTGTTTTGTTATGGGGAGAAGATATATCATCTAACCAGAACCAAAATACTGTGAAACAATCAGAACCACTATTTACGACATGAAATATCAGCGAAGTTGTGATATAACACTCTCTGGTACTTGTTCTTGAATCCTATGATATGAAAATAGGTCAATGATAATGAATACTAACTGTAATATGTAATATCATATTCATCTCCTCCAATACCAACAATTTCAAATCCTACATTCCTATCACCTACTCACATCTGTAAGAAATATATAGTACAGTCTTCACAATTGCAGGAACTTTGGAGTGGTTGGGATAATACACTGGCATGTACATCACTCCAAAAATAATCAATACTTTTTGTTAACTATAAAACCCATCAGCACTGGAATCTTAACAACTGGTTAAAAAATGTTGAGTGAAGAAAATCATTTAACACAATGTTTTCAAGAGGAGTATCCAAGTTTTGATGACAGCTATGCTAGTTCACTGCTTGTGTTATCAATTATATTGATGTAGAAGGCTTCTCTTATCTTTCTTTTTATTTTGCAAGCAGGATATTCTATACATTAGTCATACAATTAATCATACACTATCATTCTCATTTCAAAATGTGAGGTAAATTAAAAAATAAAAATGTAGATTAACCATATATTATTATTAAGTGACTCTTAGCACGACTGAAATACTCAACAATTACTTTTCGAAGTGGGCGGTATAAGCAGCTCAGACCTTTGGCTCCGAGAGAAACCAACAGAGCAACACAATTAACCTTTCAAAAGTCCATGAAATAATTTAAATTGATAGATTAACTTAAACTTCTCCTGTCACTGGGGGCAGGTACTGCAGGTAACCTTAATAGACACATTCGCTATATTATAGGTATGTAATAGAACAGGTCTAAGGTTTGTTTATTTACCCAACTGACATAACACTAATACACCACTTCACTTTATTTTAGGTATGTAATGGAATAGGTCTAGGGTATGTTTATTTTCCAAACTGATATAACACTAATATACCCATTCTCTTTATTATAGGTATGTATTGCAACAAGTCTCAGATCTGTTTATTTACCCAGTTGACATAACACTAATACACCACTTCACTTTATTATAGGTATGTAATGGAACAGGTCTAAGGTTTGTTTATTTACCCAATTGACATAACACTAATACACCACTTCACTTTATTATAGGTATTTAATGGAACAAGTCTCAGATCTAATTATTTACCCAACTGACATAACACTAATATACCCATTCACTTTATTATAGGTGTGTAATGGAACAGGTCTAAGGTTTGTTTATTTACCCAACTGACATAACACTAATATACCCATTCACTTTATTATAGGTATGTAATGGAACAGGTCTAAGGTTTGTTTATTTACCCAACTGACATAACACTAATATACCCATTCACTTTATTATAGGTGTGTAATGGAACAGGTCTAAGGTTTGTTTATTTACCCAATTGACATAACACTAATACACCACTTCACTTTATTATAGGTATGTAATGGAACAGGTCTAAGGTTTGTTTATTTACCCAGTTGACATAACACTAATATACCCATTCACTTCATTTCACATGTTATTTTTTCAAACTCACACATCAATCTATCATGCTAAAATACACTGTTATGGAAATTAATGAGATCAAAAGTTTTTGAAGAACATGGTAAACTTCTTATAATTAGTAGCATAGTCAGACCACTATTCTTAATGCTAGTTAAATAAGTGCTTGCCACATGACCAATAACATCAGGTTTCTAGTAACTGTTTTAGTGTTCTCTTTTAAACTCTTTTTATAGGCTATATTCAACAAAAATGAACAGAAACCTGTGCCTGCAATTCATTTAACAATCAACTGCAACAAGTCTGGAAAAAACAAATTTACTATCAGTATCTATAGCCACTAAAAAGGAAGCAGCTTTAGGGATATCCTGATCTTAAGCCTTGTCAAGTGAAATGGGGAATTAAATTTTGCTGTACTATCATAACCAGCATGGTTAATACAGGTATCAACAAATAGTTGTATACATCTTTACATGCAATAACTTTTAAATAAATAAAGAAAAAGACATTGTAACGTAGAGAACGCATTGGCCCAAAACACTTAAGTTTTATTCCATTTCAACAAATTTGCCTTAAGATAGTGTCAAATTGCAAAAAGCACAGACTTCAACAGAATTTGTGGTTACTGTTCTCTTTAAATGCTAATTCTGACAAGTCTTTCATGCAAAGGAATGTCAAAATATAATTATGCGAAGGTCACAGGATCTGAGCATTTTAAGAGAATCACCATACATAGTTACAGACACTGCTGCCTCAATATCTGAAGCTTTTTAGAATAACCAATGATAGTCTGTGAGGAGGGTTTCTGTTGAACTTCACATATCAAGGACCAAACAGAAGCTGGAATCTTCCTTCTTGACAACTGAATCCTAACATTTCTTAACAGGAAAATCATGTTTAATGAGACAACTTTCCACTTGGATGGAACAGCCAACAGACATAACTGTAGTATTTGTAAAGATAAGAACTGACACACTACTTGGGAATACTTTGGAGACTCGCTAGACTGGTGAACTTCAACACTACCATGGTGTTTTCCAGCAAGATGAGGGCACCACCCAATTGTAGCATTGAATCACTCACTACCTTAGGTGCAATATTCTCCAGAATGCTCAGTATGAGACTTCTGGCTATGAGGATACACCAAGCCTACAATTTATACTCCACCCACTAAGTTCCAGAATAACAATAAACATAACTCCACAAAGAAAGCTTGTGTTTGACGAATAGCAATGAGAAAGTGGTATGAAACTTGAAAGTATATAGATCAATGTATCTCAGTTTTTCTTTAAAAACTATCATATTTTAAAAAGGTGTACAATCATTCTCAAGTACCTATATATCTTTCTGATCATATTCATGTTTCTAAACTAAATTGCTCAAACAGATTTTGTTGCAGGTTACAATGTAACATAATCTGTCAATACTAACCTGAACAAGAATGAAATTGTGACAGTCAAGAGCTGCTATACAAACTTGTTCATAAACCAGCCATTCTATGGAAGAAACAATAAAAGGAAAAATATATGTACTAACTTATTAACACTTTTAAATTCCAAAAATTTTATAAAAGTTAATGAATTCACAAAAATTGACCCTGTCGCTAAAAATGTTTAAAAGAATTTATGATTGAAAGTAAAGAAGAATGTAAGATAATATGTCGACCACACTATATTATATTCAGTGCCAATGAAGTCTTTCACCCAATACCAGGGCTCTTCTGGCTAGCAGGGATACAAAAGACTCAGTATTGGATGAGACACTATTTATATTAAAATAATAAATAACACACAACGTTAAAATCGATAAACAATTAAAAAATCTTTTAAGTCGGGCCAATCTATGATCTCCAAAATTTTAATTCTCCGTGTTTTGATGTTTATTTACCACAGCATCATCAAGAGTGAACTTGCAAGACATATGTGTCATTTATTCCTTCTTAGCTAGGTCATGTGACCTGTGTGTAAGTTTACATTTCTAGATAAATCTCAGGGGAGGTCCCACCACATTCTTACACAGACATTTGCCAAACCTTCATCTCTATTTAATAATTCATGATATTTTTTAAACTTTATTATTTCTAAAGATCCGTGGATATTATTGGCTGTAATACCCTTTGGTTGAGCCAATATTACTGTTTTTTTCCCCATGACAACTATTACTGTGTGAACTGGATTAAGATTGTGAAGTGTAATTTTTCATCAGTTTTATTCATATCACTACACATCAACACTAAGGTAAGATTTTTTGAACTCCAAATTGTTTTATCGTTATTTCATTTACTTGAATTAACCTATATCATCAATCAGAAGAACTGGTAGTGAGCAAGCTAGCCTTAATTTCCACGATAAATGTAGTGTTTATTTTTTATGTTAAACATAGAAAGAGTGTACAATACTAACTTTCATCTCCTAATTTATTAACATGTTTGCTAAGCAGCGTCAACCAAAAATCCACAATCTCCTCAGACCTTCGGACATTTTCTTCTCTCCATTGGCGTAGTAAATCTCTCACTTCTAAGAATGATGAAAAATTACATAATTAACAGATGTTTCAGCTGTTTAGTTCATCAAAACAATTATACTAACATGCTACCAAAAAGAAATAAAAATTTTAGAATTTCTATATAAATGTTTAATACATTTGATGAGAGAACCAGAATATTTCTATAAACTTATGAAAATAAAAACTTCAACTATTCTTGAGTAACTGAAAAGATACCACAAACCAAGATGCTTCACTTCTTCAGCAAAGCTTTTACCAACTTAAGAAGTGAAATGTTTTAGTGTAAAATTTCTTTAGTTACCTGAGAGAATCTGGATTTTCTTCAGAAGACAGTAACTTACCCATGCCACAGAAAAAAGTTAGTTTGTCTAATTATTTCATTTCTCCATCATAAGCTTAATTCTCTGTAGAGTAAAATTCTGTATAAACTCTTCAATGAAAGAGAACAGACACTTCTCAGATTGCTCCATTTCAATGACAAATTAATTTCACTTCACATCATAATCTTGACTTCTTTTATCACATATCATAAACTGCACAAATTTAAATTTATTTCATTATTTTGAAACAATGGAAATAACAGTTTTCCTTCTACAGAAAAACAAGCAAGCAAGAGAGCAACACTGTTAATCCTGAAACATGAAAAACAAACAAAACCTTCTAGAGAAAACCCTGTTACATACATACTTTCTATAAAAAGTTAAAAGAACCCAGCATTTACTATATTCCACAAGTTCACAACTAACAGACAGTTCTCTTCAACAGACCAAAAACTAAAAACAAAATTTCAAATACACAAACTATCCAAACTTGTAAAAATTCTGAAACCATTAATATCACCTGCAGTTCTTCTATTTTAGTATTTTTTCTGATAATTAAAAACAAAGATGTACAATACACAAGCTATCCCAGCTTGTAACAATCTTATCAAAACACCTCATGTGTGAAAAAAAGGTGCGGTCAAAAAAAGGATTGACCATGCGACTTAAAGCAATGAAATCAAAAGTGGTAGCTACACTTGTAGCATTGATAAGAATTTCAAATACAGCAAATATTTATTCGTTAGTTAGCCAGGCCATGTTTTTGTTCAACTTGGGACATGATGATGGGTAAAACAAAATGCTATAAGTATTAGGAACAATAAATGAGTTCAGGGAGCTAATAATGTTTATAGGTCATGGAAGAGTACTAGAAGATTGGAATTTGGTTAATGTTAGTCCAATATTTAAAGGAGCTGATAAGCATTGTCCAGGCTAGTTAGTCTTACATCAGTAGTTGGAAAGGTTTTGGAGAGTGTGATTAAAGATGCATTGCAGTGTCACTTAAAGCAGTTTGATATAGTGTCAAAGAGCACCAAGGGAAAGTCTTGTTTAACAAATATTCTGACATTCTTTGAGAATGTTATTATAAGAGGTAATGAAGGAAATATTGTGGATTTAGTTTACCTTGATTTTCAGAAAGCATTTGATAAGGTGCCTCACAAAAGACTTGTTACAAAAATTAAATCTGTGGATGTGGGGAAAATGTTATTAAATTGGACAGGATATTGGCTGGAGAGTAGAGAGTAGTAATAAATAGAGTTAGATTTGACTGGATCACAGTTACAAGTGGTGCAACTCAGGGCTCTGTTCTGGGTCCTCTACTGTTTGTGATTTATATTAATGATATTAACTCTGGAATGACTAACAAAATTTTGAAGTTTGCAGATGACGTTAAGATTTTTGGGGTGGCTAACTGTATCAAAGATGCTGCAGACTTTCAGGGAGATTTTGATCATCTGATGCACTGGGCCAATACGTGGCAGATGATGTTTAACTATCCAAAATGTAAGGTGATGCATGTAGGTATTCACAATTAAAATTATTGTTACAATTTAAATGGGAATACATTAAATACTGTGGTTGAACAAAAAGATCTTGGCATTGTGATTGAAAAATCACTTACATTATCTAAACAATCTAAGCAATAGGGCTAATAGGATTTTGGATAGCATTTAAAGAAATATTGAATACAAGATAAGTGTATAGATTGTGAGGCCTCATTTAGAGTACTGTGTACAGTTTTGGGCTCCCATCTTCAAGAAGGACATCGACTTGTTCGAGAAAGTTCAGAGAAGAGCCACAAGGATGATACCTGGGATGGTGAGATTGTCGAATGAGGAGGGACTAAAATCTCTAAACTTGTTTTCTCAGGAGAAGAGAAGTGTCAGAGCGGATTTGATTGAAGCGTTTAAGATGATTAAGGTATTGATAATATAAATACAAACTTTTTGTGTTTAGCAGTGAAAACAATAGAACAAGGGGGCATAAATTCAAATTTTGGCAGTGTAGAAGTTGTCTGCAGTTTAGACAGTATTACTTTTCAGAAAGGGTGGTTGGCTTTCAGAAATGAGCTGCCTTCAAGGGTGGTGGAGGCAGAAAATTTAACTGAGTTCAAGAAAAGATTGGATGAATACACGAGTAGTAAGGGGTGGTTATAGTTGTGAGCTGGAAGGGACATCTTTGATGGGCTAATAAGCTCCTTTTTGTCCATTTAAAATGTTATGAAATCTAGTTGAAATGGAAGACTGATAAAATGTAAATTATGAAACTTTGATTACATTTGGAGACATTCCAGGTTACAAGTTATTTTACATTTATAGATTGTTTTTACAAATAGGGTTGGGTGGCTTATTATATAAGGAATGAACTGCAATTTATTAGGATTGAAGACAAAAAAATCATAATCAAGGTCTTCAATCTGTATGGATTGTTTAAGGACTTTTAAGGTTGGAAGGTTTTGAAATGGAAATTATTATAGGCCATTTGACCAAACAGATCAAATAAACCAAAAATTGTATAATTAAATCAGGGTCTTACTAATAAGATTACTTATGCAAAACTCATGGGATACTTTATAAGGAGTCAAACAGTGTGAGAGAATTCTTGCTTGATTCAGGATAATTTTCTATACCAAGTTGTCAACAAAGGGAGGGTGCAATTTTAGATTTATTGTTATCCACTGATGAGGATATGTTACAAGAGTTGAAGTAGATTCAATATTGGTAAAAGTGTATCATTGCATTATCAGGTTTGATGTTTTTCTACTTGTTGAAATTAAAAAAACATTTTAGTTTCCTAATTTTCAGAAAGTCAACTTTGAAACTAGGAGACAAGATTTATCATTAGCAAATTGCAATAATGAGATAAAACATGATGTTGGGTAGATGTGGTAAATTTGTGAGAATGAATTGCTTTTAATTCAAGATAAACATGTCCATTCAAAGAGGAAAAGGATAACAGGAAATATCAAACCTACTTGGAGACTAACATTGATAGAATTCAACTTTAAAAGAATTTCTTGAAAAATAAAGCAGGTATAATGTTTTACTTATCTCAAACGTGTTTGTGCTCATAACTTGTAAAATCAGCTTTGAACAATTGAAGGACCAAATGATGCCTTTTTCCATATCCTATGACAGCTATGTTATTATTATTCTTATCAATATTACCGAAAAGAGCATCTACCACATTTATATTTTTATTAATAGCAATACTATATCACTATCAGTATCACAGGTGTCAGTAAACGACCATTACTACTACTAGTACTAGCCACTGGAATTACGACATTATCATGATTATATAAAAGTTTTAATAAAACTAAAAGCTTATTTAACATTACCAATGTTCGTAATGTTATTAGTATTACTAATGATAATAAATAAATGCAATACTAGTGATAATCATTAATTTATCAATTATTTATTAGTATTAGCGAATGGCGTAGCTACTGCATTTAAATTTTGTACCACCCATCTAAAATTAATAAACAGTAACTAGTTTTTAATATTCAATCAATACAGTTTTAAATTTAAGTTAATATAGTCAGAAGGAAAAAAGGATATTGACTATACCTTCCCAGTTACGTGTCGCCATGATTTCATGTAACAGTAATATTAGTATTTGTAGTATCTGTCTTGCTTTGCTTGTTACATGATCGCCATCTGGAAATTATAGTTCATATGGGATTATTTTCCATAAAATAATCAGGCAACACCGAACATAAAATTGCATAAAAAATAACACAGTTACGTTAAATAATTATTATTTGTGTTTTAAAAAATTCAAATGGTTTAAAGACACGAGAAAGAAATGTAAGGGTATGCAACAGAACGTTCCACATTATGTAAAAATTATTATACATTACGATCAAAATTCAGTTTAATTTAATATGTAAAACTAAGTTTATTCTAGAACGGTCTCTTTTATTCTCAGATAAATCACAACACCACTTACTTTGTGTTTTTCAAAAACTAAAGTTTATTACTTTCCTATCTCATTGTGCTTACGACAATAATCTTAGCACGAAAATGGTCAGTTGAAATGGAAACCCAAAACATCATTTACAGAATTACTTGTGAATGTGGACTCCAATAGATTGGAGAAGAAAAAAACCAACAACTTGTCTTTGTAGTGCCAATCTATCCGCAATAACCCATTTTACCAGAGAATAAGCCATAAAACGGAATGAAACTAAAATAATATTAGGTTATCAAGAAATTAATGTCGCTTTTTTTAGATGAAAAAATCCGAACAACTTATATATCAAAACAAAACATTTATTAAATGAAATAGTCTCCATTCATGTCGATGATGCCTTTTCATCTTTCAATCCAGTTGTTACTGCCCTGATTAAAGAAATCAGTTGGCTTTGAAGCCAAAAACCTGTCGATGTCCTCTTTAACACCTTCCACATTTGCATACGTTTTCCCATTAAGATGGTGTTGCAGCGAACGAAAAAGATGGTAATCTGATGGTGCCATATCTGTAGAATATGGTGAGTTGGAGAAAACTTCCTAACCCAACTCCATAATCTTGAGTTGCGTCAAACGTGCCACATGTGGAGAAGAAGAACACCTTTCCGATTGACGAGAGAAGGGGTTGATTTAAACGTTCCAGTTGCTTACTATAGATATCTGCATTGACAGTTTTCTGTGGATTGAAGAGTTCGAAATTAATTACTCTGTTGCGTCATCCGAGATCACGTGACTATTCTCACGCCCTCTAC